CACCTTACTAACTTTAGGTTATAAAATAGAATATATTTTCTTTAGCAGGATTTAGCTACACAGCAAAAGGAAAACTAAATTACACAAAGAAGGCCTCCCCCCACCAAAAAAGAATACAGAAGGGCTTTTGTAGCCAAAAAGAAAATAAGAAAAAGAAGACAGAAGTGCTATTTAATCAAAGAAGATACCCACTTTTAAAAATTATTTTTCTATCATGGAGTTCAAAGACTACTACTTGCATATCTTAAAAATAAATTATGACTCCATCATCACTAGCCAAATCAGTTGGCAGAAGAAAACAGAAAATCTATTGACTCTCATAATAATTCTATTTTATTATTAAAAATTGAAACCATTGCCAAACTACTTAAAATAATCAGCCCAGGAGCTTCACCATTTCTGAAAACTGTGATGGTGGCTATGGAAATAGAAGGGTAACTGTAAAGGATTAGCCACCATATTTACTCATCTTGCAAGGGTTAAATATTTCACTGCCTGTTTCTACAGCATTATGGCCAACACTATTTCCTTTAAATAAGGACAGATAGATTAATTATGGATTTTCAAATAAATATATATAATAAAAATAAATGAGAGACATCAGATTCATAACCAACAAGAGAATGAACTGTGAGAACAGAAAAACCAATACAATAATGTTCCTTTAAGTGTTCATTTGAAAACAACTCATTAATGAAAAAAGAAAGAGAGTAGGTAAATTCAATTTGTGATTTAAGATATGCAAAGATGAAATAAAATAGAATATGATTGTGCCCTAAACCTCAAGTTACTTAAAAATTCAGTATACTCAAGTGTTGGGACCAACTACAGAGCAATTAGAAATGAAGAAAAAGCATATTGAAATTATTATTATTTAAAAATAAACTATGTTGCTACTTTTGACCAACTGGTAGTCTTAATTAACTTCTTTCTACAACCCCATCAATTCTAATTATTTCTATATTTGACCTACTCTAAGTGAGAGTTTAGTTTCAAAGAAATGGTTCTCTAGAGTGTAAATGAGATTATTTTCCAAGCATATTCATAAAACAAAAGTAAAAAATAAAACACCTTACTGCGTGATAACCATAGTAAGACCTCAATTTTTAGTCTAGATTTCAACCCATATTATGATGTCTTAACCAAAATATGCAGAAGATGTAAGGGGAATTAAAATGACCACATTTCTACTAAAATACTTCAAAATATTTTTTAACACAAGCCATACATCCAGCATTACAGAGAATGTAAATAGATTACTCATATAATTAATGTAATATATTTCCTATAAATACACACGCAAAGCATGAAATTCTATTTTAAAGGTATGGGAAATTGAAGGAAATATTGCTAAAATAGCTTTATGGCAATAGTTTTATTTTTCTTTCTACAACATCATATAGATTCCTCATTGTTTCAGAAAGTCAAATTCACATCCCTTAAACAGTACATGTATGTCATATATATTGCAGGTGTACAGTAACTTATTACTACAGTATAACTTATGGTATATGGTAATACATTAAACATCCCAATATAAGTGCTAATATGATTACAGAAATCACCAAATGATCCCAGAAGAACATCACTGGAGCCTTCTTATCCTTCAGTCTTAGCTTGTTTGTCTCTGCCTTTGAAAGGCTGTCCCTTTAAATTAACCCTGTGTCAGTCACTACCACATTACATTGCTGCTTCCCAATTTTCATAGCACTTACCACTATCTGAAATTATCTTGTTTATTTCCTTTGTTTTTGTCTGTCTTCCTCCACCAAAACGTAAGCTCCATAAGCACAGGTACTTTCTGAGTCTTGCTCACCACTGAATCCCCATTACATAGAACAGCGTCAGCACACAGTAGCACTTGATAAAAAGTATCGAATAAATAAATTAGGGCAATTAGCTCAAAACGATAATGTGCACTAAACCAGGAAAAAGCTAGCACGGAAGAATGGAACTCAGAGAATGGCAGATTCATGACCCTATCCTCCAAGAAACTGGCACCTCTAAACTTCGAAGGCAACCATTAAAAAAGTGAGCATCTGTATCCTATATAATTAGCCACTTCCTTTCTCACAACACAATTACCTCTGTGAGCAGGGTTTTAAGGGAGCCCTGACTACAAGGCCACTCCAGCCACAAATCTACTCCCCTATACTTTGCTATCAGGCATTACTGGCCCACTTGAACTAATAATTTGTCAGTTGCATCAAGTTTAGACGTGCCTCGTCTTCCCTACTTCCAATCCATGACCCTTCTCCAAATAAGCCTTTTTGCAAACCCCCAGACTCCTCACCAGTGCTCTACTAGAAATGTCACTGAAGGGAATGGTAAAAGTAACCCAGAACAGATCTTGCTTTGTTTTCAGGCGCCACTTGGCCGTTTACCCATCAGTCCTCCCAAAGACGTAGACTACTTATGGAGGCAATCCACGAGGAAGGTTTCTTAGTCAGGCATATACTAGCTGTAAATTCTTGGCAATTCCCTAACCATCTCTATGCCTCAGTTTCCTCATCTGCAAAATAGGGATAATCTCATCTATCTCAAAGAGCTGTGAGGATTCGATAAGCTAATACATGTATGGCAACTAATACACTGCAAGATATGCAGAAAGCATCAGTAAACGGGGACTGCTTTTATTATGCAGATGATGACGATGAGGATGGTTTTATCACTACTTTATGAACTCCTGGAGGGCAGTGACAGTGCTTGGTTCCTAGTAAGATTCAAACGTAACTTAAAAACGTGGAGAGGAGGACCACGGCTTCCTCATTTCACTGCTTCCAGACCCTTCCCCATGAAATTAATCTCCAGCACCTGCCATTTGCCTAAACCAGGAGTAGGGGGAACTGGGATTAAAAATCGACAGAAGCAAAGAGTGGGAACTCTCTCGTAGCATCAGGAGCAATCCAGAGAATTCGCTTAATTAGCCTCACGCTTATGCCCCAGAGTCGCAAAGGAAGAGTAAACAGCGCCCCGAGAGCGTCCGGTTGCGGTAACCCGCGTTCAGAAATGGCCAGTGCACACCTTGGAGACGCCTCCCTCACCAGCACCATAGGAGCAGGAAAAAGGCCCGAACAGTTTTATCAGAAGGAGGCGGTTCTCCGGTTCTGGCCAGAGGTTATTTATCCAGAGCCCCCACTCTCACCCCAGCGACTCACGTCTACCACCCCGGGCACCTCCGACGAGGCTCCATCCCGAGAGCCCACCAGGCAGTGTCAGCATCCGAGCATCACCTCCGCGCCCCAGGCCGCCGGCGCCCGGGAACCAGCCTCCCCACGCTAGCGCCTTTCCAGGGCTCTAGGCCCCGGAGCCCGGCCCCGGCTCTCCGGTTCCGTACGAAGCCCGCCTTCAGCTCCTCAGAGCGCCAATTCCACTTCCCCGGGTGGCCTCGCAACAGGGACCCACAATGTGTATGTGTCCCTGTTTTGGCACATACACACCTGATCTCCCACGGCACCGTCACCTTTCGTGCGCTCACCACGAACCTTGTCAGGAAGCAAACGGCTCAACTGGTACTGACCGAGAGCAGCTCAGTCCTCCACCGCCTTCTCCGTCTCCTCCCGGCCATATTACCGGTCTCGGGCGGCAACGCGGGCTCCTGGCAACGGCCGCCGCCGCCGGGACTCCACCTCTCTGGGCAGGCACTTCCGGTGGTTGCTTCCCGGGCCGCCGAAACGGTTCGGCCACCCGAAAACTACCATCCCAGAGGTGCGTTAGCGTGCTGGCCCAGTGATGGAGGGCGTAGTACTTACGAGAAGCGCGGTTCACGATGGGAAATGTAGTCCCCACGGCAAGCAACCCCTTTACCATTATAATTAGAATGGAAAAGCTCCCTTTTTCTGTGATCGTCGGAAAAACGAACATTCACCAATTTTTTCCCCTGTGAATAAAATATTGCGGAATCCTATATGGCAACTGTAAAATTTAAGACATCCCTTACCCTTTTGCAAATCAGTGGGAAAGTAACGTGCGAGAAAAGTAGCAGGTTCAAGACGGCAGGAAAAGCCCCAAATATTTCGCCTAAGTTCTTTATCTAAACATGTTACCAGCTTTCCGAAATATGATGTAGTGCCACCTTTCATTTTCTAACTCGGTTTTCCCTTCTGCCTCCTTCCCATGCATATTTTTACAAATATAAAACGAGAGTTTTAAAAGCGACTGTCACAAGGTTAGTTATGAAGAACAACATAACTCTTGCACAGTACCTGGTACAGAAGCCCCACTACTGGCCCTTAGCAGGTGGAGAAGGTTAGGAGAAGTAGCGGTGGAAAAGTCGCCGGCCTGAAACTGGGGTGGCTTGATGTCACTTCGGACTCTGCCATTAACATCACCTCTCTTGGCCTCAGTATCCTCATCTATGAAACGAGGGAGTCATTAAAATCCCTTCCATTTTTATAATCCGATTATACTTCCTTTTCCCTACTCTTTTATTCCCTCAGCATCTGAAAAATCTAAAGTCGACTGGATTCAGCCTCCTGAGGTAATACCTACCCACTGAGGCTCTTAGGAAAATATGAGATAATGCACAGAAGCATTTGCTCACACAGAACCAGGAACATGCTAAGTGTTCTATAAATGTTAGTTGTACTCCTTACCACTATCATTTTCTCCCACGAGAACGTAAGCCCCAGGAGTGCAGGGACCCTGTTCACTCTTGTGTCCTGAGCACCCGGAATGGTTTCTGGCACACTGTGAACTGAATTGAATAAATGGCCAAAAGAGTCCTGCCACTTCAAGGCTCCCGGGGAGGTGTCCTCAAGAGCAGAATGAAGAAGTCACTAAGATCCCTTGCAATCGTATAACCATACGACAGCTCTTGCCCACCTGCCCTTCTGGAATATGAAAGCCGGTTGAAGTCAAAACCCAGAGTAACCTAAAACTCACGTCTGGGACTTGAGTCTAGAACCTGAGCCCTCCTCCTCCGTCATCCAGTGGCTCCACCCCCGATCTCTGGAGACCCCGGGCCCTGATTGGCTGGACTGGTGGCTCTCTCTCCGGATGTGACCGCCGCCGCCGCCATTGTGCGGCGCTGTACCCCTCGAAGGGTGCTTCCTAGCCGAGTACCTGGGGCTCTTGGCCTTGCTTCTCGCTGTCTTGTTCGGGAATCCCGGCGGGTCCGGGACTCCCATCTGTGCCGGTGCGGGCGCCGGCATGTGGCTGTGGGAGGAACAGGGGGGCCTTTTGGGCCCCTTCTCCTTCATACTACTGCTGCTACTGCTGGTGACACGCAGCCCCTTCAATGCCTGCCTCTTCACCGGCAGCCTCTACCTCCTGCTGCGCTTCTTCAGCTTTGAGCCTTTGCCCTCCCGCAGGGCCTTGCAGGTGCTCAAGCCAAGGGACCGCGTTTCCGCCATCGCCCACCGCGGCGGCAGCCACGACGCGCCGGAGAACACGCTGGCTGCTATTCGACAGGTGAGTCCCCCACCCCCCTCACCTCGCGACCCTCCTGGGAGCTTGGACTTAAGCTTGTCCTTCCGGAGGTTACCCAGTCCCCTCGTAATCTTCCCCGTAGCCTGTTCGTCCAGGAAGGCTCTGAAGTGGCCCTCGGTCCTTTTGAAATCTGGAAAGGCTCCCGACTTCAAGTATTTATAGAGCACAACAAGTACTATATATTTGCTATGTGCCAGGCACTGAGAATACTGTCATGAACACGACAGAAGGAGTCCCTGCTTTCACAGAGCTTGCATTGGAGTTAAGGACACAAGCTTTAAACAATACACAAATGAGACACTTTTAAGGAAGCGAAAAGTGTAATGAAGAAATAGGGTAATGAGATAAGGAATGATTGGTAAGATTACAAATGTAATCTCTTTAGAGCAAGGATCTATAGATTAGGTCAACACTTTGTGGCTCCCTCCTACCTTGTGTCCTTCGTATTATACTTGCCAGTTCTTATGCTTGGGAAACTTTTCCTCCGGATCTTTGTATAGTTGACTCCCTTTTATCATTATGGTCTCAGCTCAAATGTCATCTACTTAGAGAGACTTTACCCTGGCTGCCTTGTCTAGTGAAGTGACCTTTACCTGCTTTGGCCTTCACATTACTCTCTATTTTCTTTTTTTTTAATTTTATTTAGTTATTTTTCAAGTACAGTTTTTTGTCTATTTTTCCCATCCCAGCCTCCCCCGCCCCTTGCTCCCCACCTCCCTCCCATTTCCACCCCCCTTAGTTCTCGTCCCTGTGTCCTGACAGTGTAACATATTACGACAGATAAATATTTTCTTTTTTAAAAATATTTATCTGTCGTAATATGTTACACTGTCATAATTTACATGTAACATGTTTGTAGCCTATTTCTCCCCACTAAAATGTGAGATCTATGATTCTTTCTTGCTCAGCATTCTCTCCTCACTGCTGATACATAGTAGGCACTTGATAAGTATTTGTCAGAAGGATTGTGATATACAATAGCCAGTAACCACGAGAAAAGATAATCAACATTATCACCTATCTGGAACATTCGAATCAAAATCACAATGAGATACTGCTTCATACCCATTAGGATGTCTATAATAAAAAATAAGTGTTGGTGAGGATATGGAGAAATTGGAACCTCTACACTACTGGTGGGAAAAAAGTCCATCAGTTCCTCAAAAGGTGAAATAGAGTTACCATATGATCCAGCAATTCCATTCCTAGGTAAATACCCAAAAGAACTGAAACGTAAAAAACTTGTATATGAATATTCATAGCATTATTCATAGTAGTTAAAAAATGGGAACAACAAAAATGGCCATCAGCTGAGGAATGGATAAAATAAATGTGAGAGGAATCAGTAAGAGTAGCTACTCTTCCTTAGCCTTGTTGAGTGTTTATATTGCAGTATGACACTTGACAATAATATTGTTGATGGTTTTGTTAAGGCAGCTAAGAATGGAGCAACAGGTGTGGAGTTGGACATTGAGTTTACTTCTGATGGGATTCCTGTCTTAATGCACGATAACACAGTAGATAGGACAACAGATGGCACTGGTCGATTGTGTGATTTGACATTTGAACAAATTAGGAAGCTTAATCCTGCAGCAAATCACAGATTAAGGTAAGTGGTTGATTGTTGCTTCAACATATCTTCAGCGTTTGTTGGAAATCACAGACAGAAACTGGCTCCGTTATATCTGCTCTAGGAGGGTTGTTTTGCTGTGTTTTATTTTGAACTGTATACAGGTTTTCCAGGTAGTAAACAGGTGCCAGGAAGAACAGAAATATGGCATGGATTTTTTCATCTTTTCCCACTGAGGCCAAATTTGGCCTCAGTTGTTCTTAAGACAGTACTCTGTCTAGTCACTTTGTACTGTCATATAAATTATGTATGTGTGTGTATATATGTGTCTACACACACACACACACCCCCCAGAGCTGGTCCTATATGGTATTGTTTAAATCAAACTGATGACATGTGTTAGGGAGCTAGATCTGGAATACTTTTTTTTTAAAGCCAAGATCTTACAGTTGAAATAATATAGTTGAATTAGCGTAAGTTAAATCTCATAGAGTGAAACTTTTCACGTTACAAAAACTGATTTCTTAATATATTAGGCACTTAACTTTCCTTTTTTTAACAGAAAATTGTGTATTAGAAAATTATTTATTTTAAACATTTACACTTAAATGAACAATAGTCCAGTCCACAGATTTATGTATTTCTAAACATTTTTCCTGCCAAATGTTCTGTTAGGGCAATTATAATCTTCAAATTAAGTCTGTGAGTTTCCAAAGGTGGCATATACTCTACCCTTTGGTGAGTAAAGCTACTAATTATATTATTAATTCAGTGAAAATCCAGTGATTTCCTAAAAATTAAATGATTTTTGTTGTTGTTGCTGTTCTTAGATCAGGAATATCTACTTTAGTTTAAATCTGTATAGTAAATTATTTTTAGGCTTCAGTGAGATTGAAGAAAGGAAGTTGGGGAAAATGCTCTTTCCTCTTGTTTGGGAGACATTTGTCAAATGTCTATTCCACTAAACTTTATATATATATGTATTTTTTTTTCTTTTCTTTTACCTACAATATGCTATGCCTTTCCCCTCCGTGACAGGAATGATTTCCGTAATGAAAAAATCCCTACCCTGAGAGAAGCGGTTGCAGAGTCCTTAAATCATAACCTCACAATCTTCTTTGATGTCAAGGGCCATGCAAACAAGGTACAGTTAATACCAGAGATTTCACTTTTTTAAAAAGACATCTTTAATTGCTAGTCATTTCCAAAACTATGTATTTGTTATTCTTCTTAGATTATTTTTATAAATTATATTTGTTTAATGGAAGTGTACAATGCAAAAATCCACATCTGTAAGGAAAATGTTAAATTATAGAATCTTTCAAACTTTTTAACCTTTGATGGAACCTTTTAACAATTCCGGATATTCTACAACTATCACAAAATAGAAGAGTCAGGTTTCTCTTACTTGCATAAAGCATTTGCCAAAGATATTAAATAAACAGTGAAAAGACACTTCTTGAACAGACTGCTTGAGTAACTTCATAAAAGGAATTCAGGAATTGGATACCTAAAGTTTCCTCTGTCTGTTAAAGGTCTTAGATGGACAACTAAGGATGAAATTTAAAGCTTCTGATAGCTAATAGGATATTTATCTTTTATACATATTTATCCCTTCTGTATGATTTCTCTCCCTTTTGTATAGTCTTGCTATTCTGTGATTTCAGCAGTAATACTTTTATCAAAAAATTAATTTTTGCAAATATGTATGACATTCCTAAATACATACATTCCTAAATAAAATTTTGCTTACATTTTAGGACATACACTTTGACTCATAAAAACATATTGCAATGGAAAACAATGGGAATTTATGGTTCAGATTACATTTGTTCTCTTATAACCAGCTTTTCAAGTACAAATACTTTTTTCTGCATTTGGACAACTTGCGTATTTATCCCTAGCAATAGTTATAATCAGTAATGACTGTCTACTAATTTAGAATTTTGATGATGTCGATTTTTTAAATTAATCCCAGGATATAGTTGAAACCAGCTGTTAAAATCTGAAATGGAAGCCTCAGTATATATTCTTACTTTACTAGAGTAAACTGTTTTTGAAGAAAAAGGAAAATGGTGCTCTGGTTAATTTATTATTTTGCTAAATTGATAGTTCTAGGTTTTCCAGGTGGTCTGCATCAGCATCACCAGGAATGCCTATTACTATAAATATATGGATTTCTGGGCCATACCTCTAGAGAAGAAATTCCAGGAATGCCTAGTATGGTGGGATCAAGGAACATGTACTTTTAATGCCCACTTTAAGTTTTGTTGATGTTTGAGAACTCTGGTGGTCCTGCATTTCTACCCATGGTATACTAACCTTCATGGTTATTCTTTTCAAATAAGAGGGAGGTTGGGGAGAGCAGAAGAAATCAACTGTTTAAAAAATTCAGCTATGTAAGCTTTCTGGTTGGGCGTTCAGCAGGTGGTTTGGTCAAGACTCGGTAGAACATAGTGGTCTCACTCACCATCATGGTAGTTTAAAGGAACGAGTGTTGGCAGCTAATTGGAGATAGTACAGCACAGGAGCCAAGATCATGGACTTACTACCTCAACCTTGATAAGCTTCAGTTTCCTCATGGAAAAAATGGGAATAATAGAACTACCACATAGGGTTGTCATGAGAATTAAACAAAGGATGTAGGTGAAGAGTTATTAGCCATGGTACATATGATAGTTCAAACAGCAAGAAAATAACTTTGGCTCTGTAGCTCCATCACATTAGTGAAGGGGAAGCATAACATGAATAATTTCTATGTTCTTTTTCTGGGAATGCATTTTGTTACTGATACTTGGTTATAGGTATATGTGACTTTCCAAAAGCAGTATTTCAAGAATTTTGATGTAGCAGCAGTCTATTCAGTGGCCAGTCCATTAATTCACTAGAGTTTACAAAATGTCAATATCTTAATTCTATTATTCTTCATTTATTAGCTGGACTACAAAAATTAATTTCTGCTCATCTTAGGAAGAGTCGAGACACTTCCAAATGTTCCCATTTCCTCCCTGTCCCATTGCTTCTTTCTTCATGTTGATAATGGATGACCTTTCCTCTCAGTTGCTTGGACTGAGAAAATCTACCTTTTGTAGTTCCCAGGCTGATGGCTCATGCTTCAGCTAGGAAAAGCAGAGGGTGATAGAGTTGTAGGTATAACAGGACTTTTTCTAGTGGCTAAACTAGGGAAAAGATTTTAAAATTTTGCTTCCAGTCTCCATTGGCCTACAGTCTGCTATACTTTCCAAAAATATGACAAAGGGAATAGGCCTGTAGCAAGGTAGTAAAGCAGCAGTATCCCAACTTTTATCTGCTGCAGATGTGAGTTTAAAATGTATCCCAATGGATAATAGATTCTACTAATACTCCTTTCAGTCTTCCTATATATTATTGAACTTCTGATTTATTTGATAGGGTTATACTTAATACATAATAGTTATTTCCTAAGACTATGACGTTTTAATAGATTTTGAATGCATGATCTCTTCTGGTTTTTTAGAAGGGAAGATAGGGAGAAAGAGAGGGAGAGAAACATCGATGTGAGATAGAAACATTGATCGGTTGCCTCTCGTAAGCGCCCTGACCAGGGACTGAACCCACAACCCAGGCATGTGCTCTTGGATGGGAATTGAACCAGTGACCGTTGGCTTTGTGGGACAATGCCCAACTAGCTGACTCACACCAGTCAGGGCAAATCTCTTTTGTTTTACAGGCTACTGATGCTCTAAAGAAAATGTACATGGAGTTCCCTCAACTATACAATAATAGTATGGTCTGCTCTTTCTTGCCAGAAGTTATTTATAAGGTAAAATTCTGGATTTTTGTTATACATAATATTATATTAGTTAATGATGATCATAGCAATGAGCTCAGTAAATGTAAGACAGATGCCTGTTAAATTGAATTGGGTAAGAAACTCTTTTAAATTAACAAGAGGAATTCAGGAAGGGTATTGTACTCTCATACTTCATTTTAAATAACATAATTCCCTTTTGGCTCCTTTATTTATGTTTATAGCCTCATTCAGATTACTTTGATAAATGTCCTCAGAACAGAAAGAATTATGCACCTTTACATCTCATTAACAGCAAAATATCTTTTGAAAAATAACTCTTAATTTCAGAGAATTTAAAATATGCGCAAAAGTTGATGACAGTAGTGTGAGCCCCTTTAACCATGGTCCAGCTTGTTTCATTTGTACCCCCATTCTTCTTCACCAGGGCTATTGTGAAGCAAATCCCAGATATCACTTCTTCCATAAAAATTGCTTTAAGTCTCTTTAAAAAGTGATTCCTTTAAAAACATAGCATTAATACCATTATTTTTTCTAAAATCATTAACAGTTAGACTATAAGATCATCAAATATCCAGTCAGTGTATACATTTTCATTTTATTAAGTATTCATGATACAGTTCAGCCATTCCTCTCTGTATATTCCCTGTAAATAATTGGTAGTGAGAGTAGAGGCTTGATCAAATTAGGTTCAGTCGTTCCTGGCAAGATACTTTCATAGGTTAGGGTACTTTTCCATCAGAAGGCATATAATATCTGGCTGACTCTTGTTAGCAGCTGTTAGTGATACCAATGTTTAGCTCTCTCAGTTTACTAGGGGTTGCAAAATGTTAATATTTTAATTCTATTATTTCATGTATTAGCTAAATACTTCTATAGAAAGTCTCACCTATTATTTAGTTACCCAATAGGAAAAAATGCTTAATCTTTCCCTGAATTTACCAGCTTCCAAAGTAATGAGTTGCTTCTGTAGCACTCTTCATCAGTGACCAACAGAGCATACATTTAAAATTTTATAGTAAGAGTGTAGCCTGTCCACATACAAACTGTCATCGAGAGGAATAACATCATAGGGCTTTCAGATATTTGGATCAATGTTTTCCAAACTCACTTGGCCACAGAGACCTTTAAAATGTATTATATTCCTCAGAGGAGCATAGAACACAAACTAAAAGAATTCTATTCACATCTCCCCATTTCTCCTTTGTCTTCTCCCTATCCCCTACCCCTACTTTTTTCCTCTCTTACACACTTATCCTACTTCCCCACTGAAACCACTCTTTTCAGCTATTTACTCTGGAAAGGATTAAAAGCTAATCAACCCATCTTGAAATGATCTTAGTTCCATACTCATTGAGTTCTAATTATTTCTGGCTGGAATTTAAATTGATGTCCAGTTGAAAGTTTTTTGTTGCAACATGATTAAAACTTGACCCTGAGATTATAATTTTCTCATTTTAAAGATAGGATCGCAGTTCAGTTAGGATTGTGAAGCAAGTGTTCTTATTTATACTTATATTTATATTAAATGTTTTATATCCATCACATTATTTTCTCAAAGGGTTAATGATAGGGTACTTATTTAGCAGACATGGGGTGGGGCAGGGTACCACCTATGAGCACCTTTCAGAATGAGTACATTGGCTAAATTTAAATAACAAGAGGTACTTTTCCCAAAAGCAACCAGTGGTGATCTCTGAAGATGGTTTACTATTTACTTGACCCAGAGAACCTCAAAAAATTATGCAAATGAAGAGGTTCAAATCTTCATGTTCACTTTAAGAACACTCATGAAACTGCTCAGGCCATCAAGGGTATGTATACTCGAAAAGCCACCGAGTATCTGAAAGATGTCACTTTAAAGAAGCAGTGTGTCCCATTCCGTTGATACAGTGGTGGAGTTGGTACATTTGCCCAGGCCAGACAGTGGGGCTGGACACAGAGCTGGTGGTCCAAAAAGAGTGTAGAGTTTTTGCTGCATGTGCTTAAAAACGCAGAGAGTAATGCTGAACGTAAGAATTTAGATGTGGATCTTCTGGTCATTGAGCACATCCAGGTGAATAAAGCTCCCAAAATGCAGCGCAGAACTTGCAGAGCCCATGGCAAGATTAACCTGTACATGAGCTCTCCCTGCCACATTGAGAGGATCCTACTGAAAAAGAGCAGATTCTTCCTAAACCAGAAAAGGAAGTTGCACAGAAGGAACAGATATCCCAGAAGAAATTGAAGAAACAAAAGCTTATGGCCTGGGAGTAAGTTCAGCATAAAATAAGTACTAATAAAAGTTAGTAAATAAATTAATAAATAAGTAAATAATAAGAGGCAGGAATTCATTTTATGATGATTATTTCATTTTCCAAAATTCCTTTTCAGATGAGACAAACAGATCAGAATGTAGTAACGGCTTTAACGCACAGACCGTGGAGCCTTAGCCATACAGGAGATGGGAAACCACGCTATGATGCTTTCTGGAAACAGTTTTTGTTCGTGGTCCTAGATATTTTGCTCGATTGGAGCATGCACAATATCTTGTGGTACCTATGTGGAATTTCAGCTTTTCTCATACAAAAGGATTTTGTATCCCCGTAAGTTGGAAGCTCTTTTATCTTGTCCTGACACATTTCATGAATACTCTTCTTGGCAAGGAAGGATTAATGGTGAACATGCCGGCTTGGTTCCCATCCTCACAGACCACCATGCCTTTATTAAATTAGAATGCCACTAGCTTCTTAGGTGGGAAGAGTTCAGGCATATTTTATTTCCAAGGCAAGTTGATCAAATATTCTTGGTTTTAAGTACATTTTAAGGAAAAAATAAATTTGCCAAACTTATGAGAGATCACATTTCCTTGCGATTGGCTCCCTTTGAAAACCAACATAGGATCCAGGTCAGAACCACAATGAAAATGTCCTGTGAGTGCCTAACTCATCTCTCACATCTCTCCTCTTACTCCACTGTACATTACAGGCTCTGGCTGTGTTGTTTCCCAGAAACTCTGTACCCTAATGTGCTGGCAATCTCTGAATCTTCTTTTAGCAATTTTTTAGCTGTGCATTTCAACTGATTATTTATTTCATATTATTTCAGGCATGTGTATGCATTTAATTCAATAAATATTTGGTGTGCAACTACCAGTAGTGCAGATAGTACTATACTAAGAATCCGAAGATACTGTGGTAAAGAAACAAGACCATGGTCTGTCGTCATGGAGCTTATAGTCAAGTGGAAGAAATAGATGCTAATCACATAAAACTTCAGTAAATGACAGCTAAGATAAATGCTTTGTAGGAGAGAACAGTGTGCATGTATAATGGGACCTCGTGGGGGAGTAAGGGAAAACATCCCCAAGGAACTGACAACTAAGCTAAAGTCTGAAGGGTGAGTAGGAATTGAGGGAGGTGAGTGTGGAGACCAAGTCGGAGGGAGAAACATGCAAAAGTGTTAGGGCAGAAAAGAGCCTGGTTCTTTCAAGGATCTAAAAGAAAAACAATATTCTGCAGCACAGAAAAGAAAGGGGGAGTGTAGTTTAAGATGAGGCCAAAGAGACAGGTGGGGCTAAGCCAGGTACGGCCTCCAGTATGACTTGGGAGTTCTTTAGCAAGCCACTGAAGTGTTTTAAGCTGGAATGGAACATTGTGGAGGACATTCTCATGCTGGGTTATGGAACACTCCCTGTGATTTCAGTGCAGAGGCCAGTTAAGAGGCTCTTTCTGAGTCCTGTTAGTACTCAGTGAGTACCATAGTTAATGACCATTATAGATTCCTGGGCCAAGTGGTCATTGTTCTAACATATTTGTTTTTTTCTCTTTCTCCAGGAACTACCTAAAGAAATGGTCAGCTAAAGGCATTCAGGTTGTTGGTTGGACTGTTAATACCTTTGATGAAAAAAGTTACTACGAATCCTATCTTGGTTCCAGCTATGTCACTGACAGCATGTTAGAAGACTGTGCACCTCATTTTTAGACTGTTCCCCAGGGAGGAAACCATGGGTACAGAGACTGCCTGCTGGCCTCGTGCAGGGATATTGAGAAACCCTTTGTGCTAGGCCAAGCTATGGGGGATCAGGCAGCCAGCCAAGCAGTAGTTGGTAATCGCATTTTTACCTGAACCAAAGCAAAACCTGGTGTTGCCACTGTGCTCCGTGGAATACCTGTCTGAGTTAAATAATGTTGCTCTTGAAAATCTGGGTCTGCAAAAAGGCACAACAGCTCCTGCCCAGACCTAGTTGAGGCATACACCAAGACCCAGTGAGGATAAGCACAAATTGAGTAGCACAGTTTGGGGTGCAAATGCAGATGCATGGGAAATGCATGACCATTCAAAGTTGACATTTTAAAATTTGACACACTTAGGTAATTTACTTATTTAAAACATTTGCATTCAGATACATTATCAATGTACTGTAGACATCAAACTTGTGATCATACTATTAAAATCATTAAAAGGAACACAAAGGGAAAACTGAGTATCAAGTATATCATAAAGGAGCTGAAGTTGCTCTCAATAATCCAGTGACCAGGGGCAGTAGCCTCAGTGTGCTTTATAGGGGAGGGAATTAAGGATTGACATCAGCCCCAGGAAAAGTTTATGGTACGTGTCTTGAAATAGGAACTATAGGCCACTAGGGAGCAGAGTTGCACACTTCAAACTGCTCTACAACTGATGAGGCAGTTCAAGGACATTTAGGCTTATTTTACATGAGAAAACTAAACCGTGGAAGGGAAGGGTCTTCCTCAGATATGACACAGCTGTGACTGACACAGCCTGGTCTTATTTAGCAGACATGGGAGGGGCAGGGTACCAAGTACGACCAAGTATGTGGTGGTTTAACACAATTGTCTCACAAAAATCTTAGAGGTATTTGCATTTTACTGATGAGGAAGCTGAGGCACTGCAAAGTCACTCAAGGTCTCAGATTTCTTGGTGCAATTGGGATTCAAGTCCAGGTTGGTTTGACTTGGAGCTGCTTGTAACACCCCCATCCCCACACCCCACTGTCTACCTTTATAAAGCTCTTGATTCCCAGCTCCTTCCCACATGGCAGAGGGTCTCACTGTGAACTTAAATAGCAATATTTAAAATGAAGTTGAGTCTTTAAGAAATCGCAGAGCTGTGTTTCTCTTTTAGCTGCCGCATTTCCCACCTTACAGCCCCACCTGTATGTAGCTTTAATCACCGGCCCCACAAGTTAGTCATGATTTCCCTCCTGAGTGCCGGTAGGTCACCAGTCACACTTGCGGCAGGCAGGCCACCGGTCCACACAGCTAGATGGCAGTGAGAAGCAAAGGGATTGTTGCTGCAGTTGGTGTTGGCAGTGGAATATAGATGGGGCTTGGGAGATTTTTCAGTCAACATTTACAAAGATTTTTCTTGAATTTAAAAATTAACAACAGGACAAAGAATTTATTCAATAAATAGAACATGTCTAAACTGCATGTGTTTCCATTCCATGTGACAATGGGAAAACGACTCAAAAATTCTGTGGACTGAATTTCTCCTTTGACATACCATTGGAAACTGTACAACTGACAGGGAAGGAATTCTCTGGGGCAGTATAGTTTACATCTTTTCTGTTGTGTGAAGACCTTTTGAGAGCCAGTTTACTGCGTCTGTCTGAAATCTGTTTTGCTGTTGACTCTTCTGCATCCGATTAAGGATTTAGATCCTGTGTCGAGGTGGTTTGGGCCTTGAAGAATGGAGAACTTGGGATGGAGAAAGGTGTTTACAAGTACTATTATTAAATACTTGGAAGGCTTGGTATAGGGGCTAAAAACAGGATTTGGGATCAGGGAAAAGTAAAACTGATTTCCTGATCAGCAATTTACCAACTATATGATCATGAGCAAGTAAAGTTACTTAATTCATCTATAAAATAAAGGCAGAATTAGCACCACCCCAGAGGATGGCTGAGATTAAATGAAAGTACATGCAAAGGTCTTGTTTGTAGCTAACATTTACTGACAGCCTACCATGTACTAGGTACTTTTTCAGATGCTTTCCATGTGTTTACTCTGCAACAGCACCATGAAGTAGGTACCATTATATACTAAAGCACCAGGAAGGTAAGTAGCTTGTCTAAGGTCGCACAACAGTAATAGGATAAGGGTTCAGGCCCAGGTAATGTAATTCCAGAGCCTACATCCTAAAATTGCTTATCATGTCTGGTCCATACTTAACAGCAGTGCCTGTCACATAGTAGGTGTTCAATAAATGTTGAAGGACTGAATTAAAGGATATCAGTGGAACTTCCTTGAGGAAACTAGAGATACAGTGAGAAGAAAATTCAGGTGTTAACATAAATGATTCAGGATTTTGAAGCATCAAGGAGCCATCCAAAATCCCAATAAGATAGCATTCTTCTGAACATGAATACAGATTAAAATCACATCTGCTGCTGTTTATTAGATGGCACCTCTGCTCTCAGGATGCTGGTGACAGGTAACAACGAAGAGCTACCTCAAAAGACTTAAAAAATCCACTAAATCAAACACTGATTTTTCTTATTCGGAGAGTGGTGTCTAAAATCCTGTTTTGACAACGTCAGCAAGGCATTCTTTTTTTATTAGATGCAAATTTCTAAAAGTTACACATACCATTTTCGAAAGTGGAAATAGTGCTTCAATAGGACACTAAACCACAGCTTTGAGGACAGCAAAGGTGTGAGTTAATGAAATGTTACAAACATCCACTCAAGCCGTTAGCATGGGGTGATAATTATTGCACAGTAAGGTTATTTGATCAAAAATACTGAAGGTTAATGACTTCTATAATTAAGCTTTATGCTCAAAATATCTGCAGAACAAATATTAAGAAGAAGCTAGATATCAGCTAGGGACGGGGTGCTGTCCTTCAAGACATTCGTCATCAATTAAGGGGAAACTTGTTAGAAATGCAAATTCTCAAGAGCCTATCCCAGAACTACTGAAACTTGGGGGGGCCTCAGGATCTGTTTTGACAAGCCTGGTCAGTTCTGCTACCTGCACAAGACAGAACCACTGAGCTAGAGAAAACCTGAAGTCCTCAATTCTGCTGCTAACTAGCTATGAGACCTTAGACAAATCACTTAACCTGTGTGTGTCTAAGTTTTCATCATCTGTCAAATAAAGACTATGCTATTTCAGCAATAATGTTAGGTTCAAATGATAAAAGTGGAAGTGTTTTTTCTTAAGCTTAACAGATTTTATTTATTTTTAGAGAGGGGAAGGGAGGGAGAAAGAGGGAGAGAAGCATCAATGTGTGGTTGCCTCTCGTGTGGCCCCCACTGTGGACCAGGCCCGCAACTCAGGCACGTGCCCTGACTGGGGATAGAACCAGTGACCCTTTGGTTCACAGTCTGTGCTCAATCCACTGAGCTATGCCAGCCAGGGCTGCAAGTGTTTTTAAACAATATGTTAACAGTGTAATACTATTGTTAGAAAATAAGAAAAAGTGTGGAGGTACTCTAGAACAGTACTACTACTCAGGGTGTGGCTCTCAGACCCATAGTACTAGACAGAAAGACTCTCGGGCCCCTTCCCCAACCTCACAAATTAGAATCACACCAGCCAGGGCTAGAATCTGCTTTGTAATAAGAGCTCTGGTAATTAAAGTGGGAAAGGCACTGAGCAGAAAGTAACACTGCACACGTATAAGGCACTACTTCTATCAGGCAGGTGCAGTCATGCGCAAAGTGGAGCTCCTTTCAATGGTCAGTTTCTCAGTTGATCAGACATGGAAATGCTATGAAAAAGTTTCAACTTGGAGGGGTTAAAGTTAGTACTTTGAAGTGCTGGTTACTGTACTGAGACAATTCCTATTAATGAGCTGAATTCTTACCATCTGTCCTCAATTCAAAGATTGTAAAAACATGGCAGTCTGTGTTATTTTTAGTCACTCCTTTTATAATTGAACTTCACAAAAAATCCTCTAATAATATCATGAGAAATGAACTGGGCCATTCACTGAGGTCACTGGAAGGATCAGATCCTGCAGAAATTCGAAACAGGCAATCCTTTCTTATGCTTAAAATTGCAGAAGTTATCCAGCTTTCAAGTGACAATTGAAAGCATGTGTTACTTTTATCATTTTGAACTAATTAAAGATTGAAGAGGAGGATGGGGAATGTCCCCTGAAGATTTTGGTGCCATTTTACGAGCTCATTCTTTGCATGTTTAGTAAGTGCTTTGGGTAGATTTTATGGTCAGGCAAGTTTGGGAAGAACTTCTCTAGATTCTAGCTCGGTAGTTCTCAACCCTGGTTTTTTACTGACACCATTTGGGAAGCTTTAAAGAAAAAGTATGGATGCCTGATTTAGTTCTAGAGTGGGGTGTGGGCCTGGCTGTTGCTGGACAGCTCCCCATGTAATTCTGAGAGCAGCCAGTATGGAGAACCTGGATGCCTAAAGGGACTGGGAGAGAGCTGGCCCCTGTTATGGGCTGAACTGTATTAACTCAGAAGATCACATGCTGAAATCTGAATGTCCAGTACCTCAGAAAGGAACCTCAAAAAGTAATATTTGGAGACAGGGCCTTTAGGCAGGTGAATGAATTAAAAGGAAGCCATTAAGGTGAGTCCTACTCCAATCTGCCTGGTGACCTCTTACAAGAGAACACCAGGACACATAAAGGTATACCAGAATGTGCAAACATTGAGGAAAAAAACCACGTGAGAACACAGCAGGAATGTGGCCAAGGTGCAAGCCCAGGTGAAAGGCCTCAGAATGAAAACAAAATTGTGGACACCAACACTTTGATCTTGAACTTCTAGCCTCCAGAACTGTGAAAAAATAAATTCGTGTTGTTTAAGCCACCCATTCCGTGGTATTTGGTTACTACGTCCCCTATCTGAAAACCAAGTGTTAAAAGCATTCTCCACCAAACGTGAGTGTGAGGCCTACAGACTAGGTCTTGCTATTGTGTGTATTCCTCCAGGCTAAGCAGGGGCTTTACAGAAATGGAGGCCAGATGGAGGTGGAGATAGAAACTCTTAGCATGTGGTGAGTCAGCAAAAAGACGCTTTCAGACAGAGTTCATGTTCGATGTAGAAGCCAGAGTAACACAAGCAGGATTACAATGACACTGAGGGGAGAAAATGATTTCAAACAGCAGTACCACAGGCTGCCTTCACTGACCCCACAGACAAGTTGTGTCCCAATTGTCCCTGGGAAGCCTTCGGAACACCTATCACCATTATAATTATTGTTTCATGATGAAGTCCCTGTCTAAATTAATCTGCTACAGTAAGTGTATGAGGGCAGAGACTGTATCTTGACTTAATCACTATCTTGTTCACCATTTGGCACATATTTGTGAAATGAATGAATGAATGAATGAACACTACTAGCAACCACTAGCAAAGATGATACCAAAAGGAATTAATTCAGTTGATGAAATCAATTAATGAATGAATAAATAAGTGAATGAAAAAGTGAATCCATAACTGAACACTGGTTGGATGTTTGTGTATCAAATGTATCTTAAATGTCTTCTAAATTCATTTCCAATTAGATTTCATGATAGTGATTACTCAAGAGGAGACCCCCCCGCCTCAAGTAGTTCAGTAACTACTGGAGGACCTTTCTGCTGGACCCTTTGGTTTTAAGTACAGTCACACACCTTGTAATCATCTGGCAAATCTGCAAAAGAATGCTACATATCTATGTGTGTGTGTACATATGAGTATACATATACCCCCATATATGTTCATTTATATTAGTTTCACACATACATACATATATGTATTCCACACATACCACTGGTCTCACGATTGGTTCAACATAACACTTTGATGGTTATGTATAACACCTCACAGATCAGAGTCCCAGTCCACACACCTCCCACGCCCGTCCAACTCCAAAGATGCAGGTACTTGATATGCAATTCACAGATGAGACCTCTGGTTGTATTTTATCTTTGGGTAACACAGGGATATTTTTAGTGCAAAGTCATGAACAAATGCAGGTTCCACAATTCAGAGGCATCACATCCCTGACGGAGGATCACAGTTTTATTCAGACTGGGCCACCTGCCTTAGCACCACCTTCCAAACCTTTGCCAGGTTTGGGAGATCTGGGAAGAGAAAATTTTAAGGACCAATAATTCATATGCACATCTCTTAAAGCAAAATACATCATTCTCAGTTAATCTCTTTCCAGGTTTTTGCAAACTAGTTAAAATATTACAACAGTCTTTATAACAAAATCCCAAATATTTTACGTGAAAAAAATCAGCAATTCAAGTGTAAGATACTGACAGGGAATGGACAATTTTACTTCTGTATTTACATTGTAATCAGTTTCCACTCCTGGCAAATGGCTTGAATTCCCTTCTGAAAAGCTCCGAAAGGCCCAGGTGTCATGGAAGAAGTTGTTCCACTTTTATCTTCTTTCCTTATTTGATTAATGTCTTGCTACAATCTCAGGCCTTTGAATTACCTTCTTGAACTGACCGTCTAAA